AACAATTTCAATGGCTTCTTCTTCGTTTTCGAAACTGTCTAAGTAATCATCCATGTGATGATATTTTTCAACAGATTGCTCCGAAAATCATGGGTTTCATTTGGTAAGTAAGGATAGGTCCGTCTTTATCTCTTCCCCTCCACAGAGAACGCTGCGAATCTTGATCTTCATTTCGTATGCATATGCTTAAAAACATTTCTTCGATGTCTCCCATTACAGCTATTCGATTTTGATGGAAATTGAATAAAATATTTACTAAGAAATTCAAAAGATCAGGAGCTTTTAATGAATTTTCGTTCAAATTGATTCCATCTATTTTGGCTCTGGCATGAAATACGAATCTGAATTTTTGTGGTTTACTAGTATGTTTTACTGCAAAGTGTCGCAAATACCAGGTTTTGTGAGACGTAACGGCGGCTTCTTCGCAGGTCAAAACTTTTGCGTATCCTTTCTCAACGAAATTTTCAATCTTTTTGGAATATTGCTCTCCAAAATGCTTATTTTTCTGCATTTTTTTCTCTATAGTGAATAATCTATTCAACTCGGTAGCTCTGCTGCCTGGCCAATTGATATTTTCTTTCTTCCAAAGCAAACCAATTTCCCAGTGGTTGTTTTCTAACTGGCGACATGTTTCTTCCATGAGTTGAAACGTCTTTTTGTCTTCTTCTGAAATATGATTGAATTTGTCATTTTCAACTTTCAAATTATCCATCAGAATAGTTTCATTCATTAGTTCTTTCAATTTGTCATCTACAAAAACATCATTTTTCATATAACATGTCATAGAATAGTGAGAGTCGACTCGATGTTTGAAATATGATGAGTTTCCATGAACCACCCATCCTAATTTGGATTTTGAAATAACAGGTGCATTGGGAGGCCTCTGTATAACATCTCTGGCTATTGTTAAATCGATGTAGTACTGGCCAATCAGAATCAGCGGTTTTGCATTTCTGAGATTGACCAATGGAATTCGTGACAGATGATTCCAAGTTGTCGCTAAATTTTTGACATCTATAGATTGAACAGGAAGTTTCAAATTTGAAACTGTTCTTACGTTTGACATGTCAAAAATTTCCTGATTGAGCGTTCCCTGAATTTTCAAACTAACACGTTTCGATTGGTCGTCTGTATAAAAAGTACAATTGGTCCAATACATTTTCAATGGATCATTTACACCATCCACTCCTATCTCCTCGGAAAGGTTGGAGTCCATCAAAGTAACCGTGCTTCCTTCATCAAAAAGCGCATATGTTTTCATCGACTTTTTGGGGCCGATGACAGTGACAGGAACTAGTCGAAGTGAAACGGTTTTATATCCGGCTCGAAGGACCAAAATCTTTGGGCAAACTACTTATTTTTGTCAAAGTAAGATTTTGTTCGACTTTTTGCTTTTTATTCAAAAACAAAACTGACAACAATGGTAACTATATAAAACAATAAACAATATCAACTTCAATACTAGATGTGAAATCAATTCACAACAGATAAGGGCAAAACCACGATTATCATAAGTGAGAAATAATATGTAGAGAATACTTCAGATTTTCTGAATGCTGCCACAGACGAGGTTGCGAGAAACAACCTCACCAATTTGTTTGAGGAAAAATAAAGGAAACTTTGGAGAATGAAAAAAAGCTAGATTGGTAGTGAATCCACCACTATTTAAACTTCAATAACAATAACACAAAGTTACACAAAGGAAATCATAAACAAAACCAGACCGGTGTTTTTTGTTACAGCATCTGAATTCAAAAATAAAAATTCTGGGTAAGGCCAAATTAATTTTTTTCAATAAAGAAGTTTTCCTCAGTATTCTTCCATTTCAAACTATCAGTCTTGCAGAAAACCCATTGCTATTGGACAAGAGACAAAAGGTCGAACAATCCTATTGTGCAACAGAAAATATTACATTTGCAGGCTTTGTGTTTGTCGCAGAATTACTGTATTGTTCAGATAATTTCGATAACCTTGTTATAAGGCCCGCTATAATCATTCTCAAAAGAGCCATACTGACCCCATTAAGATAATAAAATGAGTCGTTAGGTATTTCATTTGAAATTATTCAACAGAACAAGCAAAGTTGCATACCAGTCACCGCTTCAAAGCATCAACTTATTTCAATTTTTCGATTGGTTTTTGTTTAAATCGGTATCACGTTTCTGTACCTGGTGATTTGTGAAGGAATTGGAAAGGCTGTTATTGAGAGAAGGTATGTTTGAGTATTGTCCAGCTTAACAATCTTTTCGTTAGATCAAAAGTTGAATTCAGTTGGTGTTTTTGTGGCAGGTCTCACTATTTTTCCATATAATTCGAGTAATTGTTCGTATTGAAGGGTTTCCTGTTGTTTGAATTGCTTGGTATATTTGAATGCCTTATGTTGATGTCAGAACAAGAAGGTAAAGATCCCGTTTCACATTGATTGTTCTCATCTGATCATTTTTGGATGGTTTTGTCAATTTTAGTTTCGTTTATAAGTTGTGAAATGTCTGTATATCCTTCAGCAACGTTGGTAGACTTTCAAGCACCCTGTTTCTTCAAATTTTTTATGTGAACACCATTGTCAGCAAATAACATCGCTGAAGTTCAAAGAATGCTACGGCATGTCTAATTTTTAGGATTGGGTAATTTAAAAAACTCTGCGATTCTTAGATCGGGATTCCCAAATCTGTGGATACTAAGAGGCTGAGGAATTCTGATTTATTCACTCTATAACAAACGTTCTTCCTTTTAAGATATGCCATAACCTTTCGGAAAGTGGCTATGTTTACATTTTTCTCCACTGAAGAATATATGCTCCACAAAGTAGAGGATTTGACAGTCTCAGATTTTTGCGCCAAATAACCCAAAGTTAAAACTGTAATAGTTTTCAATCTCTTCATATCCATCCATTTGAGAACAAATCATGAACGTTTCCGTATCTGGACTTTGATTTCTCAGGCAATAATTAAGATGTAGCAGGCACATTTTCAAACTCACTATCGCTGTTTTTTTTGTAGTTTATTGCGATGATTGCGAACAAAAAACATGCAATTTCATGCCAAATAGTTGTCAGTTATTATTTTGCTGCTATCGTAATGATCAACTGCATTTGTCAAAGCCATACCTATCAAAATTTCATATATGTACATATATACAATGACAACAATTTTATTTTTCCCGGCCTGGTCCGGGAAGAACGTACTTCCCGAAAAATGCTAATTTCTTAAGAAAAAGCATCCGGAAAGTGGGTACTTCCCCAATGGTTACCGAAAAAGGTAATTTAGTTCATGGAATATTTAGCGAAAAAATTAATACCTAAAAGAAGGTGAAGTTACTGTTCTTTAAACATGATGGCGTTGTGACAAGAAATGTTTCATGTAATAACAATTTTATGGAATATCGGCATAAATGAGTCTCCCCTGAAAATTATATTCAACGAAAATCTGATTTCATGAATAAGTCTTCGGTACGAACTATCAAGGTATTAGCATGGTTAAAATAGTGCTTCCGTTCAAGTGGCAGATATTGTCTTACTATCTTCTGAATATTACTGGAGGAAGATCTTCCTCTTGAAGATGATCACTTGGTGATCGAAACACGTGTCGAGGTGTTGAAATAACGGTTTGGTGTTGGGAAAACATAATTATTATCTTCTGATTGAGAAGCTAACATTTCGGGAGCTTCCCTAGGTGTTTGAAATGAGAACTGCACAAGGTTGAAGAGGTTGAAGACAATGTAGTTTATTGCTACAATTCGCTCGAATTGTGATCATGCGGATGTACTTTTCAACTTGTCAATTCGACGCAGGAATCCAGAAATTCAAAACTCTTGCTTGCGACTCAAAAATATCTTACTAACTTCAAAAAGCTGGCTCATCTGCAATAATTTGGATTAAACTCTTAGGAGAACAAAAAAAAATCAAAATTGCCTCAAATTGACAGATACTACATTATTTTTATTTTCAATTTAATGTAACTTTTCTAAACTCTTCGAGATATGTATGCAAAATTTTATGTACTCCCATATTCAAAAAGTTATTTCCCCTATTCAGCATGGTTTCGTACAACAAATATCATGTATGATAAATCTTGCATGTTTAAATCAATATTTCTGTATGTACCTGGACAAGCAAAAACAAGTTGATGTTGTTTATTTAGACTTTAAAAAAGCCTTCAATCAAATAGACCAGTATGTTCTTCTCAGCAAATTGACAAAAGTAGGACGCTCTAACCAACTGCTTATTCTAATTGAATCATATCTAGTTGACAGAAAACATTTCATCGAATATGAATCTTTCAAATCGGCTCAGTACGTAGTTTCATCTGGGGTACCACAAGGTTATAATCTTGGACCTCTTTTATTTTTAATTTTCATTAATGACGATTATTCAATCAACAACAACAACAACAATATACTCTGTTTTAGCATTCACTTTTATACATTTCTATATTCCATTATTTTCAATATTCATTTCATATATACCCTGTAATAATAGCATTTTCTGTAACTGGGTACTGCTGTTGAAAATAAATCTTTTTTTTTTAATCATACCATCCTTGTAAATTGTCATATGCAGTCTAATGCAGAGTTGCAGAATTCACAACTTAAATCTGACAAACTACTTCAACATGTGCGAACAACGGCCATGAGCTCAACGAATAATTGCCGTAGTAAATGTATCAAGGTCATAATTCATCTCAGAATTTGCATCAGACGAATTACGTTAACAGTTTTTTTTCTCTTATACAATGGCAGGATAAAAATAATTTAACAGCCTCAGTTCGCCGATCAAAGCAGAATTGCTAATAAAATTCGACCTTGCTTCTGAAAGTTAATCAACTCGCTGCTTCGCAAAACAATNTTTTTTTTCTCTTATACAATGGCAGGATAAAAATAATTTAACAGCCTCAGTTCGCCGATCAAAGCAGAATTGCTAATAAAATTCGACCTTGCTTCTGAAAGTTAATCAACTCGCTGCTTCGCAAAACAATACAAGTACTTTTTTTCTTTCTTTGCAGGAGGAACCAATGAGCAACCCGATCGGATAATTTCCATGAAGTGCGGAACTCTTGATCAATGGGCCTATTAAAAATCCGCGACTATCTTCATTCGAGACCTCCTGGCAGAAAAAAGATAACGCTGTAAGTGACAAAAGTGTTTCGAGTTCCTCAGTATTGTTTTTTATTGTTTTTCATGTAGCTCTATGCGGTAGATGACTTGGAAACATGGAAAGAGCCAAGGTATGTTTCGATACAAATAGATCAGTGTGTTTGCTTTTTGCACCTAACCTTGTCGTATCAAATCAGATCAAGAATATAAATCATGTCATGTTAATGGTAGTGGATTCCACGATAACATAATTTTAATAATCTACTGAAATGAGAGTGACTTGTACCAAAAACAATGTAAGTAATTTAAAATTCGTTAGATATATTTTTAGCTTGCAGGTTCAACAGATACTTTTTGATATCCTTTTCAACAGATATTAAAAAAATCTTATTGTAAATAACGAATTTTCGAACTAAATCAATTCAAATTGACAGGGTATGTTTCTAGGAGAGATTAATTTTTGAGAAAGTTTTTCGCCTTCTACTTCTTCATCTTGATACAAAAAATGTGGGAATCTTCCAGAGAAAGGAAGGATGCAATCAATTTCAATAATTAAGTATATACAAAGATGTGTAGATCAAGCAAAGAAATAACTTTCAGACAAAAAGTGAAAAAAAAAACCCTTTTGAAACAGCTACTTTCATATAAACATTAAATTACAAGAAAGAAATTTTTTTTCTTGACACTGAAATAACGGATTTTCAGGTATTTTCCATACCATTTTCGTGTTCAACTAATTTTTTTTCAAGGACAAAAGCTGAAGAGCCATACACAAAAATGAACAACGTGTTACCTCAGGGCTAGTACTAGAGTGCCACCAAGATAACAGTATCCAGAGGTGGGTTAAAGGACACGACAGGAGTAAAGGTAATCGCATAGCCGACTCTTTAGCTAAGGAAGCGGCTGGACTAAAAATTTTAGGACACACTGGCATAGCCGACTCTTTAGCCAAGGAAGCGGCTGGACTAAAAATTTTAGGACACACTGGCACCTACGGCCTGATCACTTCGACAATTGCGGAACTAGCCAAATTTTACATCCATGCTGAATCTCTAAAGAGATGGGATAGAATCAAAGGATGTTATCTTGCCAGGATCACCCTGGGCGACCCTGGGAAGCTGGCGCCGAAAAAATATCTGTAGATGACCAGGAAAAATCCACGCTTAATAGTAGGAGTTCTGTCTGGCCACTGTCAACCAAGGAAACACCTCCCTATAATATGGGGCTAGTGGACACACCTCTATGCAGGATGTGTGAACAGGAAGATGAGACTGTCAGGCATGTCCTATGCGAGTGTCCTGAGTTATCGTCAATGAGAGAGTGTGTGTTCGGCGAGTCTTGGTCTACATCTGCCGATATAAAGGAGATGTAACCCAGTGACCTGTACACCTTCCTGGAAAGGACAGGATGGACGATGACCTAGGAGGATAACTCTTCGGAAGGATGTACAATGGGTCACATGTGGCCTAAGTGCTGTGGGCTTACTCTCACCCTCTCTACTCTACAGTTACAGATACCACACACGGTCAAAGGCCTTAGAAATATCAAGCGCAACAGCTCTTGATTCTCCATGTTTCTCGATTGCGTCATTCAAAATATGGGTGACATAAGTCGCCTGTTAATCTTTGATGATCGCTCAAGATGTTGAAGCCTTCCAAATATTTGAGGATATGGTAGTTTACGACTTTCTCCACGATTTCTATAGTTAGTTGAAAGATTTGTCTTGCCCTTTTTGGGAATAGGCTGAACGCGAGCAATCTTCCAACAAGAAGGAAAAACCCCTTTTATTGTGAGACAAGTTAAAAAGTCTGCAAAATACTGATGCGAGTTTATTTGCATTTTAAGTACGATGACGGGCACTTCATCAGGGTCAGACGCCTTGTTGATATTGTGAAGTTCTTTGCTATAATTTATCCTGAGTTTGCAGCTGTTGCGAGCATTCACAAATCTTGTTGAGTTTTTGGCACTGGGATTTTTGCGACAGCTTGCTCGCAATTTCTGGTGAACCAAGGTTTTTCGTTAGAAGGTCGTTTCATTGAAAAAGGAATATTTGCATCCATGGATGATAGAATAACTTTCGTGACTTCAGAAGCACAAGTTGATGAAACAAACATCTAGCCAGGGTAAATTTCGGAAATGACCTTGAAGATCCTCCCATTCAGCTGATCTGTAATGCCAAACTTTGTGCAGCTTAGATTGTTCCCCAACATTCATCGGTAACACTCAACACTGAAATGAGTTTGAGGTCAGAAAATCCCAATGGAGACCTTATGGTGACTGTATAAATTTCTGGATTAGTTGTTAGGTATGGATCCAGAAGACTAGCATATTCTCCATCACGGTCAGGAATCCTGGTTGGCTCATTTATAATCTGAGTAAGTCCGCTGCTTATTGCAAAAGCCTCAGCTTCGCGACCTTCTTCGTCTTTGATATTTGAAAATTTGAGCCATTCGACATTGTTAACATTGAATTAACCGAATATGGAAATTTCGGCACTGGGATGATTGATTTGCAGAAAGTCAATGGTGTTTGCAAGTGAAGAGAGTAGTGGCCTATAATANAAAAAAAGAACCGTCCTAGTTTATTAAACTGTCTGAAGGGGTGAAAATAGGATGGAAATATTTAAAAAAATCGTAACATAAAAAATCGACTTTGTACACCTACAAAATTGAGATGTGTTATTCCTGATGATCTATTCGACAGAAAAAACTTCACGTCATAGTTTTCCAGGCCGTCTGGATGGAGAAAATGGAGTGGAAATATCAAAAAATTTCTTAACATGAAAAATCGACTTTTTATACCTGCATTGTTGAGATATGTCATTCCTGATGATGTATAACTTCGTTATAGTTTTCCAGCCCGTCTGAGGAGGTGAAAATGGGGTGGAAAGTTGAAAAAATCGTATTTTCGAAAATTGAATGTGTACACCTACAAGTTTATGATATGTTATCCATCATGATCTACAAAAAACTTCACGTTATAGTTTTCTAGGCCATCTGAGGGGGTGAAAATGGAGTGGAAACTTGAAAAAATCATATATTCAAAAATTGAGTTTGTACACCTACAAGATTGACATATGTTATTCCTGATGATCTATTCGACAGAAAAACTTCACGTTATAGTTTTCCAGGCCATCTGAGGGGGTGACAATGGGATGGAAACTTGAAGAAATCATATATTCAAAAATTTAGTTTTTAGACCTACAAGATTGAAATAAGTTATTCCTGACAGCTGATTTGACGAGAAAAACTTCACGTTATACTTTTCCAGGGTGTCTGAGGGGGTGAAAAAGGGGCGGAAACTTGAAGAAATCATATATTCTGACGGACTATATTCAGTATAGAAAATTAAATGGAAATACTATATTTTACAGAATCGATCTTTTTAAAACAAAATTGTTATAATCATTAAATACTGTAAAATATTTTAAAAAACATGCTTTTACTAACTCTAATGTTCTCCTTTGCTTTGATTTTATGTGTTATGAAAATCAAATGGCTGATATGTTTCTTTGAGGCTATTTATTACTACAGTTCAATCAAATATATATTCATATAGAGCATCTGAAAGATACTGACGTTGCAGCGTTATCAGACCGTTTCCGAAGTATCTAGTCCTACATACACTACACTAACATTCATCAATTCATTACATTAAACAACTAATATGGTATGAAAGTTTTCAGTCACTTCGTTTCCACTTCATTTCCACCTTTTCAGAACTGAAAAACTCTGACACGGTGTTTTTTTTTGTTAAATCGATCATCAGGGGTATCTCAATCTTGTAGGTGTCAAATTCAATTTTCAAAGATGTTTTTTTTTTAATTTCCACCCCCTCAGACGGTCTGAAAAACTATAACGTGAAGTTTTTTTTGTCGAATAGATAGATCATCAGGAATAACATATCTCAATTTTGTAGGTGTACAAAGTCGATTTTTCATGTTACGATTTTTTTTAATATTTCCACCCTATTTTTACCCCTTCAAAATAAGGTAATAATCTCATTGACCGTTTCGAAATAGAGTTCATTTAGCAGGCTTTTTGATAAGATTGCATAGTTCATTTACCGCTGATCCCAAGAACGTTCCATTTCCGAACATAGTCACTTATTTTATTTCCTACGTTTCGTGTTTTCAAATATTTTGCTATAATGAACCATTGTGCACTGGCGTCGCATCCAATTATGAGCCATGATCCATCTCCTCTACGCGTGCTCACAAACTCTTCCACTTTTCTGGTTAATACAAGACTTTTGAAAGGAGGTACGGACTCACTGAGATCCTCCTTTGCTGGTCGTGTTCAGTTCAACTATCGTCAAGTTACTGGAACAGAAGATAATCAAGGGTAGTAGGTTCTTGGAGTAACTTGAGGTATCTACTCGATTTTTTTTCAAATTTATTTTTTTTTCCTCTGACGACCTAAGAGGTCCTTATACGAGAGCAGTATCAAACTCTGCCCTAGCCTGCTGGAGTTACTGTATAGATACCTTCAATTTAATTAGCAAGTCCCTGGCACAAAATATACTCTGTAGTTATGAGTTCTTGGGGTATATGAGATTCGTATATATTAACTAACCACGATTTTTTCCAATTTCATGATTTCAACCCAGTCACCCTCAAAGTTTCTTGTACGTGAGCAGTATCAAACTCTGTCATAACCTGCTGGAGTTTGATACTGTATGGCTGTCTTCAGTTTGATCATCATCAAGTCTCTGGAACAAAAGATACCGTTTAGTAATAAGTTCTTGGGGTATCTAAGATTCGTTATGAATTATTTACCCCTGATATCAAAGTAGCATTTACTTCTATAAACCTAAAATGTTCTTGTACGAGAGTGGTATCAAATGAGTCTGATACTGTATGGCTGACTTCAATGTGATCATCATCTAGAGTCTGGAACAAAAGATACCTTGGGATATATGAGGTTCTGTTATGAATCAACTACCACGATTTCTCTCAACTTCATGATTTTTTCCCTATCAACATAGCAGTATCAAACTAACAAATTGAATTGAAAACAAGATTTTCGTGCAATTTGGTATTCATATGAAAGTAGTTGTTTCAGACGGGTTTGTTCTTCCAGTTTGAATCTGAAAAAAACTGTGTATACACATACGAAGTCTGTTAAAAAAA